ACCCTGATCTCGAGATACACTGACCTCATCAGCCTAGAAGTGGAGACTATTGCTCCTATAGATGCTCATTTCTAGAGCACCAAATGTGGCATCAAGAGAGGATCAACATAATTAACAAGGAATCTCCACAAAGAAAAATAGTGAGCAACATATGGGAAAACGATGTGAAACTATAGATGGAAAAGACAGTGTTCCTAAACGTCGCTCCCGATCTATTCCTCCAACAGATGATCTTGGTAAGCTACACAAGTAACGTTAATGATCATTGTGTAGGTGATAGATATGGAAGCGCCCTCCCTATAGTCTTACGAATTAAAGACTAGCTTAGGACCTATTAGCTAGATCTTTATCTTTGCCTTAGACTTACACAAGACTTGGATTAGAATTTAACTTCATGAACCAAGCGACATTTGTGGTTAAATGGTTATTGTAACACTCAAACATTTCTAGTACAAAAAATAGAGTTTTTCTTCCACCGTTTTAGTACTAATACTCTAAAGACACTTCTAGTATTAGGATTGAATGCTTATATCGTTTGACATGTTACCATGAAGTTGAGATGCATAGTGAAGATGCCTTCTCTTTAATCGAATGTCTCGAGATGCCCTGTCGAAATGTCTCCGCCAGAAGTAGAGATGCATCCACCAAAAACTTACCAATTATAGAATCTACTGATGGGACTAGAGAGCCTCCGTTCTAGCGATATGAGTTTCTCTATGCTAAACCTAAATGATTTTATTATATAAAAAATGAGAAGATTAATAAACATAAATGATTTTGATATAACATCGTAAATATATATATATATATATATATATATATATTATTTTTTTAAAAAATAAAATTATATCTCTAAAATTTGTCTAAAACTCTCAAATGATTTTTATAAGTAAAAATTATGTCTAAAAAGAAGGAGATTAATTATAACTTAAAATAATGTTGATACTGTCTAAAACTCTCAAATGATAAAATATAACAATAAAAATAATATTATCTATACTTTTATATTTCTTTCTACTCTTCTACTTGCGGTTAAATTTCCTTTTAATTTATTTTAGTTTAGAACTATAATAAGATGGTTTTCTTGACTGACTACTTTATAGACAGCTTAGAGTTGCATGGAGCAATGCTCCCGACAACATGCCCCAAATGGAAGCTACTGTTTTTATTTATTTATTTATTATACTTTTAAAGTGAGACATGGCGTGTTGCTCCACTGACAGGCAATTGCATAATATTCTTTTTCTTTTTAATCCAAATGAAGCGGATTTTTTTTTTATGAAAACCATAAAGAAGAAATGGGTTAGATTCTCAGATTCCACACTCATTCATCATTATCTTTGCTAATATTTTAATTAAATTATTAATACTCACTCATTTATACTTAACTCGTGATTATGGAAAGTAAGGCAATCCAATCATTCATGTTCCCAAAACTTAGATGATCGTGACTCTTAAGTTTCTCAATAGCTGCCCATCTTTGATTAATTACATCAATTATTATTGTTTTTTTTTACAATGAGAAAGGTCACGTCTCTTATGAAAAATATTAAATTAAAAGAGTTAGGAATGTCAGGATCCAATGAGTTATTACCTATGCAAGAATAAATTATAACTACATAATGCATGATTAGGTAGCTCCACATGAATCAACACATCATTAAATTTCGGTAAACCAACTTTCAATGTGTGGTATATAAGCTCGAAGATCCAAGGCAGACATGCAACTAACAAATATGACAGCATCACCGACCCATGTTTTTAAACCATTTAGGCACTCATTAATAATACTTCACATCAACCAATTATTTGATAATCTAATTCAACAATACATTAAATCTTTTGAATAATATTAAAATTCAAATTATAATCTTTATGAATAGAGTATGTTAGATTGAGAAAGTTGTCCACGTATTGAACATATGTAATATTTGATCTAGCTTAATTGATTAATTATAAATTGAATATTGATGATCGTAAAAGAATATATTTCACAAATTTTAAATGTGTTTATGCTACCATATTTAATATCTATATATCTATCTATTTATCTGTTTTTGTATCATTTCCTAAAGACCGGGGTTAGATACACTAAGTTCCTTAGAGGAACAAGTGCACTCTCGTTTTTTTAAAAAGTTGTAAAAATAATTTAATATATTGAGAGAAAATAAAAAATAAAGAAATTTTTATATTTGTTTTTTATAAAAAAAATATATTAAACTTTTAAACTTCTATTCGGACAGAAGTGTGTATTAATGAGAAGGGAAAACCAGAGTTTTGACTATTCTCTTGCCGTTTTCCCTTAAAATTTTATTGTTTGATAGTGAGAGTGATTAATATTGGTTTTGAAGGTGGGAACAAAAAGCCAAGCGTCGCCCCCCCTTGGGTTGGGTTTCAGCAACCCCAATGGACCCACCGCCCAATACGGTTGCACCTCCCTTCACCGGCAACTCGTGCTTCCATGTCACTCTCTCCAATTCTTTTATGTTCTTGCTTTTAATAAAAACAATTTACCAAGCTTTCTTGTATTGCATAATTCATTATCATTTTCCACAACTCTGACCTCAACATGCATGTGATGATGTGATCATTTTTATTTATTTTTGATCTTCTCGTAATTTATTAAAATATTTAGATTTAAAGAAGTATACATTTAATATCTTTCTAATATATTTAAAAAATTCACATAATATTATTTTTAACTTTTTTTTCAATATTTTTGTATCATCTTTCTATTTTTCTTTGATTTTTATTTAGTCGACAACGGTATTAATTTTAATAATGATTGTTGACTATCAATGATTATTAGTTCTCTTATTTTTTTCATACTATATCCTTTGTTTTCTTTTTTTCTTGAGGGTTTACTTTGAATAAGAATCTTTATTTGTGTGACACGCTCTCTACTCTTTTGACATGATCCTTATGACTTTTAATACGTCTTTCACATACATTTACGGTTGTTTTGGTGCTCGCACAACAACATTTATTTTTTGGTTGATTTTTTTGTGGTCAAGTATAATCAAATCCCCTCTCTGATAAAATGTTATCTGTTGATATAATCATAATTGTATAGGGAAGCAGCCTGTCAAATAGTTTGGTTTGCTCATGACTCCTTTATCACTTCATAAACCGTCTCATTCGACAGAAACAATAAATATTTATAAAGATTAATGGGTTCTTTTGATGTCAATTGTCATTTTCAAGAGAATGTTTCTTTTTAATTCGTATCTTTGAGTTTAATATTTGTATATTTAATAAAAAAAATTATTATTCCTATTATTTTTTTATACGTGTACATTATCATTCTAATTTCTTTCTTTATTTTTATTGATGTGTCCCATTTGTCATTATTCTAAAAAAAATAACATAATATATTTATATGAGAAGAACAATATTGTTGAAAACAAAATCCATTTATATTAATTTATATGGTTCCTGTTGCAGTGTACAGCTATAACATAACAGTGAAAATGAGCATATATATTTAAATTAGCATTATTTTCCAAGTTCTGAAATTAAAAGATCTATATACATAAATAAGAATTATTATTTATTTGGGTGTGCTGAGCATATTGGAGTTCCACTTATCTGAACCGTCCGATGTTTATTGATTTCCCAACCATCCTCCTCACATGCCCAATTAACCCCAATCATCATTGTGTTCGGGTCTCTCTCGGTGTGAGAGGCTGACCACTTCCTATTCATTCCAATTCTATTCCTATTTCAGTTTTCATCATAATAATTATATTTGAACTATCAAAATTTTAATTTATGTGATAATCTTTGCTTTTCATTTTATTTTTTTAATTTATTAATAATTTTATTTTTTATACGTTTTAGTCCTTTTTATCAGCCATTTAATTTTTTAAGGTTAGATTTAACAGTCGCGTCGAATAATCAAGAATAATCAAGATGGCGTTTATTTGTTGATCTTCCCTGCTTTGGACCATCCGATTGAATATAGATACACGATTTGCATTCAAATATAATATTTTTACGATGTTGGACTCTGATTTGCGATTGTCGATGCTATTTTAGTTGTGTGATCTCATGTTATAGTTCATTTGTCGTTGCAATCAAATTTGTTCGTATCTAATTTTTTTTCAAGCTTTTTGGAAGAATTTTTAACATTTTCTTTATATAGTCATTGTATGATCTCAAGTGACTAGTTTATTATATTAATGGTTATACGAAATATCCTAATTATGTGTTTAATTCAAGTTTATGATTGTAAACATTCATAGTTATTTTAAATATTTCTTATATTTTAAATAAAATTAACTGCTTTTACTTGCATAAAAAATTATTTATATTATTTTTTTATCATATAATTATTTGGTATTTATTTATATATATTAATCGTTTACTTTTCAATATTTATATTTGATACAAAAGATGGTATAAAATTATAATTTTATAAATATAGGATGGAAATACTGAATAGGTATCGGGGTTGTGAATATGCAGAATTCTAGATGTAAAGAAATGAGAGTTTTGGGTATTATTATATAAAAAGGCATTGCCGGAGGAGTGAGGGCATCTTTTTCACAAAGCCTGAAGGGTATTGGTTAAGGGACTGGGATTTGTTTGGCATGCCTCAAACCCCAGACGCACATCTCCTTGGTTTCTGCGTCTAAAGGAATCTTAAACCCTTCTTCTTCTTCAATATTTATACTCTATTTCCAGGAGTTGTTTGATGTCAAGCTGCTGTTCAAGTTAAGGTTTCGTATGCAGTTTTATATGCTCTTCTTCTTCTCATACTGCTCTTGAAGAATCCTTTACAGGTATATACTCCTTTTAATGCTTATGAATTCATTTATTTCTTGTGATTCTATCAACTTTAATTTTCACTGTTGAATGAAACAAGAAGATGAATCTGAATTGAGGAGGAAATTATTATTGCTTATTTCCCCATCATTGCCACATGTGAGATATATTAACCATAGAAAAAAAAAAGCTTGATAATGGAAGATATTTTTGAGCTGGAAGTTTATGAATGTGGCCCAAAACAGCAGTGAACAACCGGACAAATGATGCTCAAAGTAGCTTCTTTCTTATCTAATAATAATGAAAATGTTGAAATGTGAATCTATGACCTGTAAATCAACGGACTAAGTGCTGGCTGACGGGTTCATACTTTTAGTCTGCATTCATGCCCTATTTATCAGCTTTTCTTCTAATCTTTTTTTCCTCGTTTTACAGGTGGAAATAGTGGGAGGTGATTGAGCATAAGTGTAGATTTTGTAAAATAATCTATTTTTTTCTAGGCAAAATTACTTTGGAATAAAGGGATTATATCACCCCCTATATTTATCCAATCCATCCCTAGATATTCTTTTTTCTTGGGATTTTGAACCAGCAAACAATGGAGAAGCTTCTTAGACCCTACGATAAGGAGTTTATGAGGATGGCAATCTTAAAACATGAAGAAACATTCAAACAACAGGTACATTAATTTCTCACTTTCTTCTTTCTTCTTTAAAACTCCGTATATATATAGAGAGAGGGAGGGATTTGTTCTAAAAGCTTGCATTTGATGTATGACCAGGTTTACGAGCTTCATCGTCTATATAGAATCCAAAAGACATTGATGAAAAAAATGGAAAGCAGTAAACCCATGATGAATGGAAGCTATATGCATCATCAGAGTTCAATAACCAGGCTTGACTTGGAACATCCAGCCGACGACGATGACGATGAATTCATAAATGAAAGCGAGATTGAATTGACTTTAGGACCCACAAAGTCCATGTCGAGGAAGAAACATGGGACTCCCACTTTAACCTCAGATTCTGGACCCAACAGCTTCTCTTCATCTTCGACCGAATCCTGTCATATGATCAACAGCAGGCGGAGTAGTTTCATGGCAACCAAACAGAAGACAAACACATCTGCAAGAGATGAATTCATTGGTCGTGAGCTGGGACTCCTCCAGGTCGCCGACACCACATTGGGGTATCAAACCGGAAGCAAAAACAAGGTGGATCTCGGACAACAATTGAGACAAGAGATGTTAAATCAGCCTCCTTGGCTTTTCCAAGTTCTTAGTATGAATATGAGTTGAAAAATACAAATAAAAAAGTCGATATGATTAGATTTTAGATTGATGTTTGTGAGGGAGTTGGAGTTTAGTCCTTTTTTTGGTTTTGGAGTAATTGTGTAAAGTTTCTTCCTTGATTAGCAAAACCCATTACCTTGACTTCTTTTTCTGTTTTGGGTGCTTAGCTTTATAATCAGTCAATCCTTTTCAAGTCCCCACTTTGGAAGACTTCCAAGTCCAAGGATAAAGTCACCTTTATTTATTTTGGTTCAAAATATTTTTTTATGGTCTAATATGCATAAAAAGTTGGTAGAAGAGATTAGAATCTAACATTAAGAGGGCATTTTCCAGAAAGCAGCAAACCCAAAGAACAATATTGTTTGATTTAACAGAGATACAGGAAAGATTCAAATCTCCACTTGAAGATACACGAGGATCAACTGTAAATTGCACGTTTTACAAGATCAGATGAAATACATTCGGGATGCTCATAATCAAACCAAACCAATTCAAAGCCCAATGGGTCAACCTATGTGCTACACCCTTTGCTGGCCTGATCACTTAGCAAGCCTTAAAGCCCAGGTTTTGCTACTCACCTCTTGCAATTGTAGGCCCACCATGGTAAGGTCCAAAAGAGGGTTGAATAGCCCCTCCCAGCTTTGATGCTTTAATTGCATTTTAGGCCATTGGTAGTTTTGAAACTATTATAATGTAACCCTTGCCCTTCCCAAAATTTGTGTATAATTGTTTCTAAGACATTGTTAGTTTGAAAATTAATGGAACTAAACCTGATCTCGAATTGTTCTGGTTTAATTACTTTTAAGACCTTTAAAATTTTAAATTTAATGAAATAAAACTCTTCATCTCATAATTGTTGTGGTTTATTTGTTTTTTAAGACTTTATTTTAATCCTAGTTCCGTCTCTATGGACTCCTTCCATAAAAGCTTTGCCTTCTGTCGTTTCTACATTATGAAGACCGACTAGCTTACGAGCATGGGCTAGCCACCACCAACTCGGTACTATGGTCCCTTGCCATAACATCAATGACAACAGCTCTGTTCGTCGTTACGAAAGCACTATCAACATTTACCTTTGTTGTTTCAGGAGGTTTAGTCCAGACAGATAGTTATGGACAGGGATGAACCTACATAGTGTTTGGGTGGGGCTGTTGGCCCCTCACAAATTTTTTGGTATAATAGTATTTTAAGTCCTTTTATTTAAATATTAGTTAAAAAAGACCTTTGTCCCTCTCAATTTTTAGATTTAAACATTTAATAAATTATTTTTTTATATAAAATTATTTTTGCACTCGTAATATTTGATCTTAGCTCTGTTCGTAGTAGTCATAGGTACCTTGACAGACGTGTGATGGCTTGCATTGGACTTGCAAAACTACCCATGCAGCACCTTTGCGTTCTCCACCACCAAGTAAGCTGGCTGTAAATTCTCTGTTGTGCCTTGGCATTAAGTTTAGTTTCTATGATGTGATATAGTCTCTTCGGAGCCTCATCATTATAATTTTAGTTTCTATGTTAAAAACTTAAACCCATTCTATACTACTACTCGTATCCTGGATTGTTTAAATGTACTGTTATCACAAATACTGAGCTCAGCTGGGCACAAAAAGTTTCTGAAAAACACACACCATGCAGAATCTTTTCAATTTTCAAACTTCACTGTAAAGATATGGCACATCATTAATGAAATTTAAACACAAGTTGCTTCTGGATCTGTTTTTCACGACAAAACAGACGGATGTTGGTTATAATCAATGCCAACTTTAGCCTTTCATTCCTCAAATTAAAATAAGTGGTCCATAAATTTAAATCTGTTTTTTTTTTCTTCACGTTTTTAGCTGGTACAGTAAAGCTTTTGTCTTGCATCCCAATACAAGTCATTCCTTTCCTGCTTCACCAGCAAAGGCAAAACACACCTTTCCTTAACAAGGACAAAAAAAATCAGTCACATTCCATCTTTCAAAATTCAAAGTCCCTCAAATTGCACCACATAATATGAAAAAATGTCTTTTGGTCTCAAACTCAATAAAACATGTCTTCAAACACTAAAATTTTCCCAAAAGAATTCGCTTCATTAAATGAAATCCTAGAGATTATCCATCATTATTTGACATTATAAATCAACTTACAAAAAGTTGACATGCCAGATTGTCTCCTAGCTTTAGCCCCACTAAACCATAAAATCTAAGCACCCCATGGTTTGGCTAATGGCAGGCCTCTGTTACGCTCTAAAACACCACCACCACCACCATGTTTGCTTCGCCTGCTCTGACTTATGAATTTTCCATTGTTGTTTCTGTACTATTATTGCTTTTTCAGTAACTTTTACTTCTTTTTCTTCCACTTGTCCCCCTTTCTCTCTCACTCTCTCTGCAATTCAAGTTTTACGCTTTGTTTTTTTTTCTATATCATTCCTATTTATGCGCCCTTTGTTACATTCCAGGACGACCCGAGATAGTGTTTGAATTCGAAAAGTTTGTATTGAGTTTCAAAGCAATGGAGAATGCTGCAGCTAAATGTTGTGATGAAGAGAAATGGGAAGCCGAAGAAGAAGAAGAAGAATCGTTGTCGTTGTGTGATTTGGCTGTCAATTTGATTAAAGAAGAGAACCAGCTGGTTGAAGAAGATGATGGTGAACAAACTCAAACGAGTAAAACAGAAGACGATTTCAACTTTGGCTCATGGGGTGGCTTTCTTTCGATAAAACCAGAGATGTGTGCAGCTGATGAAGTGTTCTTCAAAGGCCGAATTCTACCACTGCATCACTCGGTCAGTTCCGACAGTGCCATGATGGGGTTCCGGCAAGATAGCCACAACACTAGCGAGTGCTTGTCGAGGTCGAAGTCCATGGACCATGGTTCATTAAGTAGGTTCACAAGTGTTAGCAGCAGCAGCACTAGATGTAGCCATTACTCAACCAGTAGCAGTAATGCCAAGCCAGAGGCCATTAAAATCAGAAACAACTTCAATACACATCCGAGCCCGAAACCACAGATCAGATTGTCCAAAACCCGAACACCAAACGCCAACAGCAGAAACCAGAGATCATCGATATGGGAATTTTTCAGGTTAGGCTTGTTTCGATCACCGGAGCTGGAACTACAAGACTTGAAACTTCATAGCAGCAGCAACAACAACAATGGTAACAGAACTTCCGTTAGTCGAAACAGCAGTTGTAATAGCAGTAACAACAGTTCAAGCACCAAGAACGTAGTTGTTAACAATGGTGGCGCTAAATTTCCAAAGAATCAGCAAGATTTGAACGGAGGGTTCTTAGAAAAGAGAATGGGATTGCTCAGTGGGTGCACTTGTTCAGTTAATGCAGTTGAAACAGTTCCATTGAACAACGTAGTCGTCGTCACCAAAAGAAACAAGAACAGTGAGAAAGACAAAGCAATAACATCGCATGCTGCCGCCATTGAAGAGAAAATGAAGAAGAAGCAAACTCTGTCTCGTCATCGAACCTTTGAATGGATAAAGGAGCTTTCACATGCAAGCTATGTTGATGACGCCTAAAGAAAGACTCATGAACAATCCCTCGCATGCTTCCCTTTCTTCTATTTTGTTCATCATTATCACTTTTAGTTTTTGTTTTCTTTATTTAGATATATATTCTGAAATAGTTCAAAGGGCAGGCTCTTGTACCTAGAAAAGCCTCTCTCATTGCCTCCGGAGGTATTTGAAGTAGTTAATTATTGATTTTCGTTCACCTTTTTTCTTCCGTTACTCCACCTTTCTGGTACGTATATTAATTAATGAATTGATAAATAGTAGCCGCCGTGATGGGTGGAAATCAAGTAACGTGGCGGTGCTAGTGGTGGTGAAGGTGGTTATCATGATTAAAGTACCAACTTTAACAGGCACACGAAAAGGGCAATTAGTGCCCGTCACTATAAACATCACGAGGACATACAAAACAGAGAGACATCCCTAAAAAAAGGGTAACCTACTTATCTAGTCACACATCTATCTTTATGATTTCATTTTAGTCATCTGATTATTATTTTTTTCAAAATCATATATGTTATATTTTGGTTCCGTTTTGATCACCTATTGTTCAAAAATTAACAATGATGTTGACATGTCACCATAAGACAATGTCATGTCATCATTAAAAAAATAAAAGAAATCATATCAGTAGTTCTAATTATTTTTAACAGTGTATGATCAAAACGGAACCAAAACATAACATTAAATATATAATTTTAAAAAAAAATAACTGAGTAACTAAAATGAAACTACAAAAATAAATGGGTGATTAAATATGTAATTTATCCCCACACACACAAAAATTAAGCAAAGCAAAATGTTAGGAGAAAACATGCCATTTAGCCCAAAAGAGGGCAAAGTAAAACACGGAAGGGAGGAATTCGGATAATAACTCTTTCTATTTCTGATAAAGGGTAACAACTCTTTCAATATCATTCATTGTTCTTTTAATGATTACATGATTACAAAAGTGAAGAACAATAAATGGTGTTTGCCTGTTTCTTATACTGTCTGAATAATTCTACCTTGTATTCGTATCTGATTTGCCCATTTTGTTGGAAGATTTGAATATACTTTATTCCTAAATCATCTGTGGTGTAATTTGTTTAATACAGATTAACATAATCATATAAACGTGGGCCTTAAATAGTTTAGAGTGATTAGGTCTTCAGTTTCCTTTTGTTTTGCTTTTTAAAAAAAGTATTTTTATTTAAATAGTTATTTTAGTTCATATTTTTTTTAGAGTATTTTAGTCTCAATGTCTTATTTTAAGATAAAAAGACTCATAATATTTGACTATATAGTCACTTAACATTTTTTTAGTATTTTGGCCCAGAAAGTTTCATTTTAAGACAAAAATATTCATATTTGAGGGGGAAAATCTTTATTTTGGACCGTTTATTTATTAATAATTTTCACTCACGGTGGATTTTTTTTGTCTTAAAATGAGATATTATGGACTAAAATGTTCTAAAAAAAAGAATATAAGTCAAAATGACTATTTAATCAAACATTAGAGGATTTTTTTGTAATAATGTCTTTCAAAAAAAAACTTTCTATCAATTAGACAGCATATCCCACGCATGTGAAAGTTCATCCCCAATCATAAACCATTTTCTCCATCTTTGCGTATGTCAGAGTATGTTTCAGTCACAGCTACTGTAAAAACCATGTCTTAAGTTCAAATCATCGAAACTCAGGTAGTTGTCTAAATTTAACCATAAATATTAT